CAAGTTGTAGTCTTGAGACGTTGAAAATATTACCAGCAATACATTTTTGGAAAAATATTACCAGCAATACATTTTTGGAAAAATATTGCCAGCAATACATTTTTGGAAAAATATTACCAACAATACCTTTTTTAAAAAATATTACCAGCAATACATTTTTGAAAAAATATTACCAGCAATACATTTTTGGAAAAATATTACCAGCAATACATTTTTGAAAAAACATTACCAGCAATACATTTTGAAAAAAAATATTACCAGCAATACATTTTTGGAAAAATATTACCAGCAATACATTTTTGGAAAAATATTACCAGCAATACATTTTTGAAAAAACATTACCAGCAATATATTTTTGGAAAAATATTACCAGCAATACATTTTTGAAAAAATATTACCAGCAATATATTTTTGGAAAAATATTACCAGCAATACATTTTTGAAAAAATATTACCAGCAATATATTTTTGGAAAAATATTACCAGCAATACATTTTTGAAAAAAAAATATTACCAGCAATAAAAATTGTAGGCATTAAATAACCCAGTAAGGTTGATATGCCGTAAAACAAACCAAACCAAGTTGTAGTCTTGAGACGTTGCTTTTGTGGAAAACAGTATACAGAACGGAGAATGGTAAATATGAAACACTTTGACGCTATGATAAGCGGATTGAGTTTCTTAAAAGAATCCTTATGACTTTCATCATAAGATACAAAAAACGCCAATTAGCTATCGTTAACTTTTCAAGGCTTAGCTGAAAATATTCTTTGATTACGAGAGAACCTTTTCTTGCAGTGAATAATATGGCTCATTAGTGAGCCGTAAACGCGATAAAAAAAAACTATTTTTTCCAATTGAAAAGGAAATTGATCATTGATATTTCGCTCTAATTTCGGGGTGTGTCGGGCGGAAGATAAGGCGAGATAAGACAGATGTCTTAAATGGAAAATGATAGAGAGACTGCAATCAATAAATGCACATTATGCAACTAGGCATCAAATGGCACCCATCTCCTGCGTTTCATGGCAGAGCATTGGTCCGATAGCCTAGAGGGTTAGTATTTTATAATCAGTACCTCCTATGTGAGAAGAGTTTCACCGAAATTTCGATGGAAAGCAACCAATTCTTATCATTTGCGATTAGATTTGCTTTGTAATATGTTTTGTTTTTCACTCTCGTTCTCAATCGGATCTCCTCTTTCTTCCTTTTATATATTTCTTTCTTTCTGTCTTTCGTCACCATTTTATCGTAGTTCCTCGCTCTCCCTCACACACATATGCACATACACAGACGTGCTTTCTCTGTCTCTCCCCCACACACTCGCACACATATATAGTGCCGTTTTTCTCTTCTCTCGTTCTCTCTCGCTCGATCACTTATGCAAACAGTGCATTTTTTCTTTCTTTCTCTTTCTTTCTGTCGCCTTCTTTTTCTCTCTCTTTTTCTTTGACACATACACACTGAGTTCTTTCTTTCTTTCTTCATCTTTTCATAACTCTCTCACTATATCTCGCACACACACATACTACATGTTTCCTTCTTTTTTTTCTTTCTTACTTCTTTTTATGTCTCCCAATCTCTCTCTCACACGCAAACATACTTATATATATACACTACCTTTTTCTTTCTTTATCTGTTTATAAGTCCATTCTCTCTCTCTCTATCTATCTATCTATCTATCTATCTCTCTCTCTCTCTCTCTGTGATTCTTTTTTCTGGCGCAAACAGTGTATCTTTCTTCAAATTTTATCATTCTCTCTCTCTCTCTCTCTCTCTCTCTCTCACTCCTCACTCCTCACACACACACACACACACACACACACACACAGTACTTTTTTTCTTTCATTCTTCATTTTTTCATAACTCTCACTCTCTCTTGCTCTCAAACGGGCACATACTGCATTTTTCTTTCTTTTTTTCTTTCACACACACACACACATATAGTGCATCTTTTTCTCTCTTTCAAAATATCGCTGCCCATATGCCAGAAGTTATTCTGTCGACTTATCTCGTAAACATTCCTGCTCCGGTGCCTTCACTTAAAAGACAGACGGCGTCTGGATGAGAAGGAATAGAAGTTTTTTTTTTTTGTTTTCGTTTGTTTTAGCGACGACAGAGTGGTGAAAAGATGAACGTTCCCAAAATACTATTTCTCAATTGGAATTAAAGAAATGGAATCTATTGGCCATTTTTTTTTTTTTTTTCAGCGGTTATTTTTTTTAAAGAAATATCTCCAAGACTAAAACTTGGAAAGTTGGAGAAAAAAAGGTGTAAAAGTTAAAAAGAGGAAGGAAGGAAGGAAGGGAGGGAGGGAGGAAGGAAGGAAGGAAGGAAGGAAGGAAGGAAGGAAGGAAGGAGGGAGGAAGGAAGGAAGGGAGGAATGAAGGAAGGAAGGAAGGAAGGAAGGAAGGAAGGAGTGTTAATGAGGAAAAAAGAGATAAAGTGAGATAAAAATTAATTTGATAAAGCAACAAGGAAAAAGAATGAACGAACGATACCTAAATGAAAATAGAAGCAAACAAGAAAAATAGAGAAAAAGGTAATTCTGAAAGAAAGAAAGAATGTCTGGAAAAAGATAGATATTTAAAAGAAAGAAAGAAATATGCTTAAATGAAAGAAACAGTCAAGAAAAATAAAGAAAATGTTATTATTTAAAGAAAGAAAGAAAGAAAGAAAGAAAGAATACCAGGATAAAAACGGATATTTAAAAGAAAGAAAGAAAGAAAGAAAGAGGGTAGAAATGAGAGAGAAAAAATCAACAAAAAAGTAATCTTGCTAATCAAAAATCGTCCCTAAAATTAACAGTTGTTAAAAGACGACGGTCACGATTCGCTGGCCCCAAAATGGCAGACACAATGCTTCATAATTTAAGGAGAAAGAGCGCGAAAATTAATAAATGAATTACAAACAGTCTTTACATTGGGCAGCAATACAGACATGATATCGGCCATTTCTTTAAAATGGGCACTCAACTTTCCAAGTTTTTGTTTGTTCGCTCTGCTTTGGCCAAGTATTGAACTCATAACTCTTTGGGTCAAGTCACTTTTTGGATGACTCAACCAACGCTTTTTTTTTTTGAGAATTGAGTTACTAAAGGGAATTAACTGATACTGAGATATTTCAAAATGGCATGGCACGTAGAACTATAACAATCTAGCCCAGTGGACTAAATAAATGTTTCGGTTCGAAAGAAGAAGCTCGGAAACTACAACAGCCGAAACGTCGTGAATATGACAATAAAGATGAGGATAACAGTCCGAACGACGTAAATAGTGTAAATAGTTATAATACCTCATCTCAGAAATATAGACAGATATAGAATTCTCTCTCTCTCTCTCTCTCTCTCTATATATATATATATATATATATATATATATATATATATATATATATATATATATATATATAGTACAGTAGATAATTTGGTCAATAAAACTAAGTCAAAGATACCGATGAAATCATTACGAAAAACATTTATTAATATTAACCATGTGACAAAAATGAAGCATGGAGATTGAGGTTCCAAGTTTTTTTTCTTAATCTACATATATATATATATATATATATATATATATATATATATATATATATATATATATATATATATCAGGTATATATCAGACGAGAACGAATAGAGTACAACTCCAACATTCGTACATTTAATTTAATAGATGACTCAATACAGAGTAGAGCAATATTTTATTTTAGGATATTAAAACAACATGTAAAATTGCTACACAAATGCAGTCGTGTTTCGACACATACCGATGTGACTCCACAGGCGATTGTAAATTACAATTAATTTGGTTTCAAAAGTAAAATACAACCTCTTTTTTCGGGGAAAAAATATAAGGCTTGGGTGCTTTAATCCGATCAACCAATCGAATATGACCTACATTCAATTTAAACTAAGCGAAGAAATATATATATATATATGTGTGTGTGTGTGTGTGTGTGTGTGTGTGTGTGTGTGTGTGAATATAAAAGTGAACATTGAAGTCAAGACTTAGAGGTGACAGTCTGTTTCATGCTAGACGTAATCGTCAGGCCATTGCGTCTAGCATGAAACAGCCTGTCGCCTCTAAGTGTTGACTTCAATGTTCACTTTTATATTTACACACACTCTATCTCTGATATTGAGCACTTCACTTTATCCCATAAATATAGCACACCTTAAGAGTATATTTCTTCATCTTCTTATATATATATATATATATATATATATATATATATATATATAGGTGAATGAAAAGTGAATCCCCATTGTTAAATACTTATAATTTATTTATTAACTATAATTTTTACAAGAAATGGATATGAGAGGAAAACGTGTAGCATAAGTTTTTATTTATTCAGTTTCATATTGGAGGCTGAAGTTTGGATTTGATAAGCTTTTTGTTATTGGTAGTTATGAAGCTGTCAGTAGATAATAAGATCCTGTAGTAGATAATAAGTTTTCCGAGTCTGCTTAGAAAGCATGGAGATGGCCAGCATGAAAAGATCGTAAAATATGCGAAAATGCGTGCATCTACAAGGGGTGGTAAAAAAAAGTACGTCGCCTAATATATTGTTATAAGGTGGGATTTGATCTGAAATGCTCACTACATAATACTCAATTTATATGGTTAATATTCATCGTTTAATTGTCTTCACAAAGAAAGAAAGATAAATAGTTACTGAGCGGAATAAATGATTTCTTTATCTTTAGTCTAACGACTTGTGGATATGCTGGTAGCTTAACAATTATCGATGGGTGAAGTGAAACCGGCATCCTGAGTTCAACTCCTGCAGTGTTTGAATCTTTTTTATCATTTCCCACTTGTCTTAGATGACAACCAGTCTAAGAAAATAGGCATACTAATCCCAAACTCTGAACCCGGGATATTTTAGACGATGCTGACATAGTCTTGATATTAGAAAGAAAACTACAGGAACTCCTACAGAAGATAGTGAAGGAAAGCAAGAAGAAAGGACTAAGCATCAATTGCAAGAAGACAGAATACATGGTTGTCAGCAAAAGGAACAGCCCAACATGCAAATTACAAATTGGAGATAGCCAAATCAAGTAAGTAAAACAATTTAAATGCCGGGGAAGATTTTTAAAAGAGGACGGAAAGTGCGATGCCTTAGGTGCATTGGGATAGCGAAAGATGTCTTCCAAAAGAAACAGAAAAATTTCGTTCAAAACAAAGATGTATTGAACTGTTATGTAATATCGGTCCTCCTATATGGCAGTAAATGTTAGACAATCTCCTCACAGATGAAGAAACTTGAAGCAGCAGAAATGTGGTTCTACAGAAGGATGCTGAGAATACCAGGGACCGAAAAATGTGAGCAACGACGAAGTTTTAGAGACAACGGAAACAAAAAGAACACTTATGCTTAACACCAGAAAGAGACAGTTGAAATTTCTTGGGCACGTAATGAGGAAAGACGGCTTGGAAAATTTGGTACTCACGGGACAGATTGAAAGCGAGAGGGACAACATATAACTTTACCTAGCGAAATGGCGGAACAAGGTTGGAAAGAGACAAAATTTACTAAGAAGTACAAAGGACAGGAAATTGTAGAGAGCCATTATCCCCAGAATCTTAAAAGGAGACGACATATCGAACAATAATAGACAACAAGCACAGTCAAGCACAGAGTATAACATTTTTACGGGGGTATTTCTGAGTTGGGGATGAATGCTCCTTTTTCTCTTGTTTGTTGGTTATAAATAGAGATAAAGCCTTCTTTTCATTGCAGGAAAGGTTCATTAACAAGTTTATTTTTCAATGACAAGCAGAGGGCAACTCTTTGCGTAAGCTGAGAAACAGGCAAATGGTGAAGGACCTCCCTCTGCTCACAACGGATTTTCAAAAGGGAGAAAAAAAAGGTTTATTATAAAACCCGTCGTGTGAGATATCCGTACGCACAGACGAACGGCGGATAGTACAAAGTTGAGTTTTACGTAGGAATTGCGCACAGAGGCTAAAAACAGTCCAATCGCATCGTCACTCCTTTGAAGACGCCTTCGGCGCCAGTGATTGATCCTATCCTTTTTAATAAAATGGAAGAAACGCTTTCTAGAAGGACGGCCTCCTTAAAACATGACATGCATTAATTCCCGCCTCAACCCCCTCCCTGCAAAAAAAAAAACCTGAGAAACAGGATAGTCTGAGATGTTAGGTAAATAAAACAATAAACAGATTTGTAATAACAACTGAAGCAGGCTGATACTGATCTACATAGATCCATCTTGGCAGCAGCAAATCATGAATGGCCCTAAAACTGACACTTCATGATGAACAACGTAATAGAATTTAATGAAAATAAACGGAAAAAAATGCGGTTGTAGTTACTCAGCAACAAGTAAAATGCAACCCACAAATGCACACAAACAAAAACACCACTCGTAGATTTAGGCCTGGTAATTTGCGTTCCTTCTGGCAAAGGCTGGAATGTTGGGTGTGTCGAATAGAAGAATCGAAACACGTTCTGAAAATTGCCTGACTTCTTCGGAGTAATAAAGGTGTGAATATAAAAGATAAGAAGTTGGTAAGTGTTGGGTGCAGGGTGTGTGGTATTGCAAACGAATTAACACTGGGTATGAAACGGGTGGGTTAAGGTTACGTTCCTGGCATTCAAAATAACGTTAGAATCTTCATTAAGAAAGTAATTCTGATGTCGTAAACAGAATATTTCAATGTATGACTTCATGTTTCATGCCAAATTACTGAACAAAAAATATCCTTTATACAGAAGTAAAGAACATAATGCTTCCTTCACTAATGACAACGTCATAGGCAGGAATAAAATGCTTTTAATTCGGACTAAGGTACAAAACTGAAATGTAATTAAATAAGAAATAAAAATTTAAAAAACAAAAATCAAGGTAAAAATATTTGTGATAAAATACGGGGAAAAAAAACCTATTCAAAATTCTGGCTTTCTAACCTGTGCTGAAATACGTGACGACGAAGATGTACTAAAACTTCTCGACCAGCCTCTCTCCCCAAATATCAACTGTTTAGTACCAGGTAACGGAATATTGATTGATTGATTATTTTTTACGGTTTATCAACCTTTTCCAGATTTTTTTATTTAAATAGATAATAATGGGTTTAGTGATACAAGTTTTGCTAATTAACCCATAGCTGGGGGAGAAGGGATAAATTCACAACTTTCCCGAGAGTATTTGCGCGTAAGTGAATATAATGATTCCAACAGGAACTGGAACTCGGCACTCTGATTAATTCCGAGCCATTAACCATTACACCACCCGCACATCCCAGCTTACAGCATCTGATAGTTCCAAGTGGAAACTCATCTAGGTACTGACCAGTAACGGAAAATGAAGCATATTATTTTTTTTTTAACTTTCCTTTTTACCAATGCCTATAGAATAAAAGCTTTTTAGTTGTAGTAACACAAATTAAGAAGAAAAAGTTAACAGTCAATGATTGATAATGGTTGACAATACTTCATATAAGAAAAAAAAATCAAGTTAATATTA